AAAAAAAAAAAAAATGTATCTTAAATTTTCGGCCAAAATTGTATTTTAAATTGGTGAAATTTAAAACATATTACTAAATAAATTTAATTATATTAATGTGACTACTTTTTGAAACATCAAGCCACATGGAAGTGACGTGCCACTTACCATGACATGTAATATGTATTATTGATCAATTATATTTCAAAATGGTACTACTATTTTATCCCCCCAACAAATAATAATAAAATACATCCACTTATTAGGGTGTGTTTGGTAAAACTAGCTGATAAGCTAGCTGATAGCTGATAAGCTAGCTGATAGCTTATATGTGATAAGCTAGCTTATAGCTTATAGCTTATGACTTATAGCTTATATGATAAAAGTGTTTGGTAAAAGTAGCTTATAAGCTAGCTGAAATAAAAAATTCAACGAGCTTATTTTGAAACGCTACCTAAACAAGCTTATCAAATAAGCTCGAGCTTTTTAAATAAGCTCGTCCTACCAAACAGGGCTTATTTAATACAGGAAGCTTATAAGCTAATCAAATAAGCTATAAGCTAGCTTATATGTCATACCAAACATACCCTTAATGTATTAATTGCACCTTCAAAATTAATGAAGCCCATATACCAACACAACCTTAATTTTCAAGATTCCTTTCTCTATAATACAGGCCAAGTGGGTTCTACCACACAATATATATAACAATGTTATCCAAGCAAAACTTGTGTATACATAAAAGTATTTCAAGTTGAGATATCACATGTACGTTTTAGGTTATTGCATTAGTCATTTTATGAAATTTTGCATCTTTATCACCACATGAGTCTTAACTGGTATTAGAACTCTATACAGACCGATGAGATTTATTTGTTCAATGCCGACTGAGCGTTCTTTCACATCTTGGGACATTCTGTTTTTGTTTGAATGAGCTACCATCGCACGATGAATTATTGACAAAGCTAGCACATGGTTCGCATCATTTGGATCGACTGCGAAAAAAGAGATCCATAAACAGAAAAATGTCGTGAATGGTGAAAGCTACTGACTAGTACTGCACTTAATTGAGTGGTGTTCCGGCATGGTGTTATAAGATGATCATTTTCATAACAAACACAGTGCAGTGTAAAACATTCAATTATTTTAGCTGAAAACGTTAAACACATGCTCATACACAATCCAATCAACATATTGCTACAAGTATGTAGAGAAACAAAGTGCAGTAAGCATAGCAGTGGATACAATCTCAAAAGCAACACTCTAAAACATTACAAACAGCACACAGTACGAATTTAATATACGAGCTATAGAGTTCCTATTATTTGGAATTTAAAGGTATCATCTAGTTTCCCACAACAAGTTCTCTCATTCCTGCAGAAGAGGAACAATATTCAGCATGATACAGGTTAAATTAATATTAATAAACTACATAAAATGAATAATCCTCATCATACCTCATCGTCCTCGTCATCATCATCACCTCCATCCTCCTTCTTCTTCTTAAGCACGGTTTTCCCGCCCTCCTTAGAAATCGGCAGTTTCATCTCACCAAAAGGCGTGTTCACATGAATATTCCCCTTCATAGAGTAACCCGTTCCCCTCCCTCTAATCATGTCCCAAAGCGCCGACCCACAATCCTTAGGCCTAAACGTAATCGGCACATCAATATAGCTAACCCCATTCTTCTCAATCTTAGCCGACTTTGTGAGCTCGGCCCCACCTATGCTCACGTCACCTAACCACACCTCATAATCAAGATCATTAAGCCCCAGCTCAAAATCATTCTTGTTCTCCAACCTCAGATGAAGAGTGGCCACAGTTTCCTCAAAAGAGAACTTCTCGAAATGTATCTTCTCGACATCAACATCGGGCTTGTAGGGTATCGGGATCTCGCCCGTCTTCTCGAGTGGCAAGGTGAGACGGCCGAAAACCGGGACGTCCACGATGAGGTCGACCTTAACCCTGTAAGGGATGATGCTCCCGGGCTTTATGTCATCGTACGTGTTTTTTATATCGTCATAAATCAAACAAACCGGTATCTTGATGGTCTCCGAGCCGTGCGCGTGGATAGTGCCCGCATCGGGAATCAAGCCGGAGACGAGCTTCCGGCCATCACTCTCGATCAAGTAGTTGATGTCGATGAGAGGGATAGGGACAGGATTAGGGTTTTTTACGAGTACATCGACCACAATGTCTGCCTTATGGAGGTTGATGTGAGGGATGTGAATGCCGGTGACATCGGCCGTCGGCTTCCCGAACCCAATGGTCTCCTCGATTTTCTCGCCAATGTCGTGGATGAAGTCCTTGACCTTGTCGATGAATCCGCCCTTTTCGTCATCTTTCTTGTCCTCTTTCTGGCTCCGGTCCTTGACCTCCCTCTCGACTAACTCGGGGTTATCAGAAGATGCCATTTTCTTCTTCTGCAGAGGATTATAAATCATTTCGTATGGAGCTACAGAATATAGAAAATACCACTTTTATGTCTAAACCAATGCCACTTTTGTCGATTATAACATCAGACTAATATAAACTCGTTCTGGGAAATCAAAGTATAGAGGAAGAATTAATCTAAACTACTCGGGGAGATGCTACGATCCCGTTACGGAACCATTCCGTCGGGTTTATAGCTGTTAGATCAACTATCCCGACGGTTACATGATGATAACCCCTATAGAATGGTCCCGTAACGGGACCATAGCATTTTCCCTAAACTCGTTTTCGTCAATCAAAGTGGAAAATGATAGCTCTAAAACGACATCTCAAGATACACCTGAAGATTGCGATCACCTGAAAAAAGGGTACTTCAATTTTTTCATGTAAATCTAAAGTTTCTTTTCAGGATATTGGGGTTTTCAGATCTGTGAAATCGATCGAAAATGGCAGCTGTTTCTCGATCTCAATTTCTTGATTTAAACGAAAAGGGGGAAACATTAGGACTTGTGATCTACGTGAAGCCATGAGCAGAAACAAAGTCCAAGAAAATTCGATTACGCACATGATCAACATCTTAAACAAAATTACAGAGGAACGAACAAAAAAAGAACGATCTTCAAACCCCAACCAAAAAAAAAAAAAAATTGTGGACGGATATATCATAAAATCATACAAAAGAAGTAGGTTTTTAGTTACCAGTAGAGATCTTTGAGCAGCAGATTCTTGAGTTATTTCTGCAGAAATGAGGAGTATCGAGAGTGTTGAGGAACGCGTGGCCTTTTCTTCTGATCACTGATCAAAAAATCATTATTTTGTGGCATGTACGACGTCGTACCTTAGGTCCTTAACACGGAGTCGACACGTTGCGGATCGGATAAGTCTCTATTTTGGGAGATGTTAGGATCGTTTGTAGCCGTTAGATCAAACTATTTTGACGATTACATGATGATCTAATTGTTACAAATTACGACGTAGTGGTTTTGTAACGGAGCATTTTCCCTCTACTTTGCCACTACTGCTGCAATGAAATTAAGAAAAAAAATACTACTATATATTATTTTATTTTACCTTCCAAAATAGGTGTAATGGTTTTGAATTTCTAAGAAAATAATTAATTTGGCTTTCAATAATTTTTAAAAAGACATAAACTACTCAATTTATACATGACTTGAATTTGATCAGACTTTAATCACATAATAATCGAAATCTTAAAATTCCACCTCCACGAAGGATTCCACTTAAATTAAAGTATTTTAAAGTTCGAGAAATCTCAAATTTTAAAAAGTACTAGTTATCATCTTGTGCACATCAACAGATGTACATAAAATATTATAAGTAATTTTTGTGAATTTAATATAAAAATTATAGATGATAAACATATCACATTTTTATGTGAATTTAATAGTAAAATTCTAGAAAATAAATATATCACATTTTCAAGATATGTGAATTTAATATTAAAATTCTAGATAATGGACATACCAAATTTTCAAGATTTAATCATTAGTAAAAAAATAAAATAATATTTATATAAATTATTTGAGTACATATGAATCACTATATTAATTAAAAAAATTGTGGGCAAAGTAATTTTTATTATTATTATTATTATTATTATTATTATTATTATTATTATTATTATTATTATTATTCTTATTACAACGACAATTGTTTATAAGATTTTAAAGGTTTATTACTATACTATTAAAACTATTTATTAATTGTTTCTAAAGAAAATTGTTTCATGAAATATATAATAATAATAATAATAATAATAATAATAATAATAATAATAATAATAATAATAATATCATTTATGAAGCCTAGTAAAGTGTAATCATGTATTTATAAAACTTAATTAATAAAACCTCATCTATTTTCCCTCCAAAAGAAGTTACAAAATTTGTCATTTATATTTTGCCTTTCACATTAATACACTCTGTTAAGTGTAATCATGTATTTTTTTGCTATTATATTATATATTAGTTAATGCTATTACCAACTCATAATATTTCACACTAAATATAAATTACATAAGTATAAACAATTTTATTGTTTCAAGATATTATTATTACTAGTATTCGACCCTGTGCAATTGCACAGAGGTAAATAAAGTATTGTGAGTTATTTGTATGCATAGAATGATTAATTATTTTTTCATCTTTTTGCTGGCCAAATTTACAATCTGTCAATAATCAAAAGTTTAAAATGATTTTTGTAATTTTGAAGGGATTAGTGTTGATTATGTAATAATTAAATGAAATATTAAATACATCAAAAGTAACAGTTTTTTGAGGCAAAAGAGTTAAATTGCCACATAGGTAAAATTAAATAGGTATTATTAAAATACTATTAGCTAGTAATTATATATATATATATATATAGATTGTTGTTGTTGTTGTTGTTATTATTATTAATATTATTATTATTATTATTATTATAGTAGTTAATGCTATTTTTTTGCTATTATATTATATAATAGTTAATGCTATTAATTTTTTTACATGATTACACTTAATAGGGGTGTATTAATGTGAAAGGCAAAATATGAATGACAAATTTTGTAACTTCTTTTGGAGGGAAAATAAATGAGGTTTTATTAATTAGATTTTATTTATGAGGTTTTATTTAATGATTAGCTAGCAATTATATATATAGATATATATTAAAATATTATGAAGAACATCAAATAAATGCACTCTTTTTAATATTTTTAGACTTTCAATTAATACTAGTGTAATTTATTTTATACAATACTAGTACATATTCAGTGCGATGCACGAAACGAGACAATGATAAATTGCGTTAATTAAATTAAAGTATAAATTTCGTAATATTTAAATTAAGGACAATGCTACATGTACAATTGTATTTTACAACATTAGTTATTAAGTCAAATATTCTTAGAGAAATGCTACAGTCCCGTTACGGAACTATTCCGTCGAAATTTGTAACCGTCATATCTTCATGTAACCATCGTGGATAATTAATCTAACAGTTACAAACCTCAAATTCCGTAACGGGACACTAGAATCTCCCAAAATCTTAACCATACAAAATGATAGGAATATTTTTGTTTTTTGTTTTTGTTTTCTTTATTCAACTAGGCCTAAACTATTTTTGCATTATTGTTCGAACAATAATCTAGTTTTTATTTTTGCCCTTTCCTCTTTTTATAGATCTTGAGTTGGCCCTCACCACTGGATGTGAAAATAGGCCGCGCATCTCAACCTCTCTTCGTTGTGATCCTTTTGTTATGAAAAAGATGAAATTTTCTGGGTTTTCAATTGCTATCCTTCTTGCTATCCCCGTATAATCTGCCAGCTTTAACACGGATCGTGCTCTCCTTTATACGTGATTGGATGTGGTTTCTTGACATGCTTGATTTGGAGTTCGTTTTCCGGAGAAGCTTAATTTGATTCAATCTTCTCTGGGGTTTGCTTTGTTTCAGGTAAAAACATCGATTTGTGCCTTCTTGGACATGTTCGGAAAAATTGGGATTAAGCCGTGAAATGAGAAATTCTCGTTTACCGTTCTTTTGTTTTGTTTATGGAGATATTGTTTTCTCCGAATTTTGGGTTTTTTGTTTTGATGGAATATTGCAAGTTGGATTGTTTGTTTTGATGTCTGTCTGAAGCTTATATCTGTTGCATCACAAATGTTTGATTATGCTATGATGTTTCTGGTTCATGAATGTCCACGAAAGGCAAAGTATGTGGCTGTGTATGTTACCTGTGTTGGTTGTGTTCATGTAGTTCTTACTTAAGCTTAATACAGGGCATAAAGTAGCTCAAGAAGAGCTTGCACGTTCAGTCATATTCTAATTCTTCCTCCAGATAAACGAATATACGCATTTCGTTTTAGTTGGATTCTGTTAGTGAAAAATTATTCAACCCTTTTTGGTAGGCTAATAAATGAGCCAAATATACGAAGCTGAAGAAGACAGCAATGACTTGCCACAACCAGTTGCAGTGGGTTGGGGTCAAGAATCAGAACATACAAGCAAACAAGATGGTCAAGACGAACAAGCCCGCACAGCAAGCAACAAAAAGAATGTTGTCTCAAAGGTGTGCAATAATATTTACTTGTTTTGTTGGTTGGAATAAACTTGAGTGACATATTAATGAAGCCTGCTGAAAGGTATGTGTAATTATAGGATATGTAACATTGTTCGAGGTTGATCTCATGTTTTGGGGGCTAAATAGATGTTACTCTTCATGGTTCTCCTTTCTGTGTGTGTGTGTGTGTGTGTGTGTGTGGATTCTAGTCCCAATGACTTGTCAAACTTTGTGAGAAACAAAGGCCTTTACAAATATGTGACTTTATTTAAAAAACAATTTGTGTTTCGATTCTTTTGCTGCCCTCTTATGCTTTCTTGGACATGTTACTGCTTATTACTTTGTTTTGCCTGTGGCACTTTCTGTTTCACGAAATTAAGTGACGCTTATGTAACCAAGGTGACCACCTAACCTTTTCGTGAAATTAAGTGATGCTTCATAAGTGCCAATGATGGTTCAAAATCCTGAAAAGGATCACTATAAGTCCGTTTCCTGCTAGTATGTTTCCTGCTAATAAAATATACACTGAACCAAAAAGAGAAATCCCAAATGGTGAAATACAACATTATTGTTAAAATGTATGCTTTTATTTTGCAGTTTTTCTACGAAAACTTCCCGACCTCTCTAATACTAGCATATCAAAGCTTTGGGGTGGTTTATGGAGACCTGAGCACTTCACCATTGTATGTATTCCGCAGCATATTTGTTGGGAAGTTGGAGAACCATCAGAATCCCGAAACGATATTTGGGGCATTTTCATTAATCTTTTGGACCTTAACTCTGATACCTTTGCTCAAATACGTGTTTATCATTCTGTATGCTGATGACAATGGTGAAGGTATGAGACATTCATCTCTATCGAATGAGTATAGGCCAAGCTATTCCATCAGCCCTGATAAACCTGTTGAATCTCCTTAGGTGGAACATTTGCTCTTTACTCCCTGCTTTGTAGACATGGAAAGTTCAGTTTACTACCTAATCAACAAGCGGCTGACGAGGAGCTTTCGGCCTATAAATATGGTTTCTTGGGACTGTCTTCATCATCTGCAGCCTTGAAGAGATTTCTCGAAAAGCGCAAGAAGTTAAAGACTGCTTTATTGCTTGTGGTGTTACTGGGTGCGGGCATGGTAATTGGTGATGGTGTAGTTACTCCTGTTATGTCAGGTATGTTGACTTAAGAGCATGTTGAAATTTTTTATGTTAATTACATTAGTGTCTGTTCTTGATTGTGGGTGACAATCTTTTTATTGCTCTCTCTCTCTCTCTCTCTCTCTCTTCAATTTGCATCGTCTATTGGGCATATATCTTGCTATACACTCACAATCTCTGGAAGCTATTGCCACTTCAGGTTCAACTATAATTTTTCCTGGGAATTTTATATAATTTGGTTCTTAGCAACGAACTACATACATTAGAAATGTATATGCTGTGATTTAGTGATTTTGATCCAGCATAAATGAATAGCTGTATTGCCAACGATAGCTGTGTTTGCTTCAGTTTGTCATTTGTTAACTTTATACATAAACACCAGTATTCAAATGCAGGTATTTCTATATGTGTAGTAGGCAAATATTTACTTATGTCCCCCTTAGTTTTTTTTATATTTAGGCACCACATCATGCACTATTTGAGCTAAGCTCGATTTTATAATAACGACTGTGACTGACATCAGTACTCACTATGGGCTCATTTGCAGTCCGATCATCAGTGTCCGGGCTTGAAGCTGCAAATAAAAGATTGCCCCGTGGTATGTCTACTTATATGCATAATCTGCCTTCGGTGACTGACTATATTTTTATTTTGTTTTTACATTTTTGTCCTATCATAGTTATTGTAACTTGTATTGATTATGAAACAATGTATTGTCATAGGTGCTGTGCAATTGGTCTCTTGCGCTATATTGGTTGGCCTATTTGCTTTGCAGCATTGTGGGACACATAAGGTTGGCGTCCTGTTTGCACCCGTAGTTATCCTCTGGTTGGTATCAATTTTCTCTATTGGAGTCTATAATATAATACGTTGGAACCCGAACGTACTGGTTGCGATTTCTCCACATTATATCGTGAAATTCTTTAGTCGAACTGGTAAAGATGGGTGGATTTCTCTTGGAGGGGTACTACTTTCCATAACTGGTAGGTGGAATTTTTATTATTCTTTTTATCTATTATGTAATCAAATGTACAAATACAATAAGCCTTTCCTATGACCGGCTTCTTGGTATGAATGGCAAAATTGCCCCACTTTTGATTTGATGGCTATCATTTGTGGGTTATCAGGTACCGAAGCAATGTTCGCAGATCTTGGGCATTTCTCAGCAAGTGCAATAAGGGTAAACCAAATCTTTGTAGTTCAAGCTTATTTAATGTAGTATTTATCTCGATGTTGACCTGAAAATAGACATAGTAAGAACTTCAAAGTCTGTAGGCTACAGTGTGATAATAGAAGTGCTGTACTTATAATTTGACGGCAGACTTTGTTGTGCATGGCCTTGAATTTTAAGTCTCATACTATTTCAAAGCTGTATAGGGACATGTGATCTTACTTTGGAGTAAAAAAGAATATTAGGTAGTATACGGTGAACTTCCCATTTGCACCAGTTTAGATTGATAACTTCTATCCGGTGTACTAATGCATGGGTAACTGTGAGCTGTATATTCCTAACTTGCTTGTCGGTCCCTTACTGGCTCTTAATTGCTTTGTATTTGCAGATTGCATTTATATCCGTTGTATACCCGTGTTTGGTAGTGCAATATATGGGCCAAGCTGCTTATCTCTCAAAGAATATCCCTTCAATCTCTAACAGCTTCTATGATTCCATTCCTGGTTAGTTTGCACCAGAAATGATGATATTTATTATGGATAATTTCAAAAGCTGACACTTGGGATTAGCATTAATACAAATAGCTTCATTTTGTCTTTCATAAATAAAAACTGAACCCTGAAAGACTTACCAGCTCTGCGTTTGAGGGTTATTTATGTAACAAGTGACCTCCCTCTTGAGGCTGAATATTTGAAGCATAGTTGGGGTGTTTTGTAATTTGTCTAAGCACAGGGATAGTTTTTTCGTAAAACCATTATATGGATAATTAACCCTTTGTCCCTCTTTCTCAACAAATCGAACAAATCCTGCAGATGCTGTCTTTTGGCCAGTCTTTGTTATTGCGACCCTGGCAGCTATAGTTGGCAGTCAGGCTATAATTTCAGCCACATTCTCTATCGTTAAGCAGTGTCAGGCACTCGGTTGCTTCCCACGTGTAAAGGTTGTGCACACCTCAAGACAAATCCGTGGACAGATCTACATACCCGAAATTAATTGGATCCTTATGATTCTCACTCTTGCCGTGGCTGTTGGCTTCCGTGACACAACTAAGATAGGAAATGCATATGGTAAAGCTAATGAATTTAAGAGATTTCTATCTTTCACTGTCATGCTCTTGTTGGAAAAAAATGTGATTATATTTGTCCTGAAGATATCATACATTTTCTAATCTTCTCATAATATTCTGGCATAAATCATTAGACAAGAATACCGTTAGGAAACCACTTTATTATGTTAAATCATGTCGAATATGTGGTTTCAGTAACTAGGAAGAGATGAAAAAAACTGCTTATCCAATTTCACTTGTTGGATTGCATGAAGTTTATTAAAAGTATTAACCATATTAAGTCAGAATAGTATTTTTTTTAGAGTAATGCTATGTGTACATAATAAATGTACATAGAGTTGTACATAACACTCACATGGAGTGGGGTCCATTTAATTTTTAATTTTTGGTGGGTCTCACTCAATGTGAGTGTTATGTACATGTACAATATTATGTACATATAGCATTACTCTTTTTTTTATCACTAAAATGATAATAATTGTGATTAGACGTTTTCTCAGTAGTCTACACAAGATTCCATTCTTCTTTATCATGTTTAAATGGATTTTTTTTTATTTTTTTGGTAACATAATGAGAGTCAAAATAGAAAAAAATTGCATTTTTAGTCCTGTTGGTTTAACGCCATAGCAATTCTATTCCTAATGTTCCAACATTTTGCCTTTTGGTCTCGTGATTTAAAATTTTGTTGCGATTCAGTCCTTTGAGGACTTCAATTGCAACAAAATCCCAAATTCCTAGATTTTTTCGATTAGCAATGTAAGTCCTGAAATCTAAAATTTTGTTGCATTTCCAGTTTGTAATTTAAAATTTTATTGCCATTTCAGTCTTCAAAGTTTTGGACTGAAAATGCAGCAAAATATTATATCACGTGACCAAAAGGCGAAAGTTGGAATCTTAGGACTAAAATATTAAACCAACGGGACTAGAAATGCATTTTTGCCATCAAAATATCACAAGACGTTCTCCAAGCTCATTCTCACCAATCACCTTCTGACAACCTCGAATTCCCCATCTTGTGCAGGCTTGGCTGTAATGTCGGTGATGTTCATCACAACCTTCTTGATGTCTCTCGTGATGGTTCTCGTGTGGCAGCGAAGCTCGATCTTAGCTGCCGCTTTCCTGGCCTTCTTTTGGTTCGTGGAGGGCACATACCTCACATCCGCTCTTACAAAGCTCCCTCAAGGCGGCTGGGTCTCCCTTGTCCTCTCCCTCTTCTTCATGTCCATCATGTTCGTCTGGCACTACGGAACCCGCCGCAAATACGCCTTCGACCTCCACAACAAAGTCCCCATCAAATGGATCCTCGGCCTCGGCCCTTCCCTCGGCATCGTCCGCGTCCCCGGCATCGGCCTCGTCTACTCCGAACTTGCCTCGGGAGTCCCGCCCATCTTCTCCCACTTCGTCACCAACCTCCCGGCCTTCCACAACGTGCTCGTTTTCGTGTGCGTGAAGTCCATCCCCGTCCCTTGCGTCCCTCCCGAGGAACGATTTTTGATCGGACGGGTTTGCCCCCGGCCCTACCGCATGTACCGATGCATTGTCCGTTATGGGTACAAGGATCTCCAGGGAGATGACGGTCATTTCGAAAGCCAGCTGATCGGGAGCATTGTTGAGTTTATTCGAATGGAGGCGGCTGAGTCAGCCGGGAGCTCGCAGTACTCGAGTCCCGATATGGTCTCGTATGACGGGCGAATGGCTGTCGTGAGCTCGAGGACATTCGATTCCGTGGAGACTGCCGAGTCGAGTGATAGCGGAAAGTCGGGTTTGAGATCGATTTATGATGATGAGAATCCGAGGGTTAGGAGAAGGCAGCAGGTGAGGGTTGAGGTGCCGGAAGATCTTCCCGGTATGGAGGCGGGCGTGAGGGAAGAGCTGATGGATTTGATTCAGGCGAAGGAGGCTGGGGTGGCGTATATTATGGGACACTCGTATGTGAAGGCGAGAAGGTCGTCTTCGTTTTTAAAGAAAATGGTGATTGATTTTGGTTACTCGTTTCTGAGGAAGAATTGCAGGGGGCCGTCAGTTGTGCTGCATATTCCGCATATTAGTTTGATTGAGGTCGGCATGATATATCACGTCTGAGAAGGAGCTAAGTGTTGTAAGTTTTTTTCTTCGATGCTATTGTGTTTTTTTTTTCGTGTATATTTGGAGGGAGGATATCTGTTATAGATTTGTGTGTTGGGATCAATGAAATTGTAGAGACAATGTTCATTGATATAATGTTTTTGTTGAAATTTTGGATATACACTGCTGATCAGTGTTGCTATGGAGTTATCGGATAACTCGACTTACGCATCAATCCACACTTATTCACCAATAGTGTATTGGTACGTGTCTTACAATAGATACAATTTGGACATGTGTCTTATATACACATATATTAAGTGTTGGAAGGCTCCATAAAAAAAACTATCCGATGGCTTTACATAATTTTTGTTACAGAATTTTTGTTTATGCAGTATAACAAATGAGTTTGATAACAGATCAGACCTTCCATTTTTCAAATGTTATCCATATGCCAAGTGAACCAAGTTAAAAGTATTGGTTGATACAATTCAATGTTATATCATACCTATTATGGGCAATCAAAATGTCTTGTGGTATGTGAAAATTTGAGATAATGATTATAAATTTTTGTAATAAAATTATGATTTACTTATCATTATTTACGGATATACCACAAATAGGAATAAATAATTTACGTTGCAAATTTCTTAATTTGAATATTAGGCTCTTTTAATACATGTATATTGCTAATTTCTTGTTACTCCAACACAAAATCATCTCACATTAACCCAACACAAGAGATCTCTTTCCAAAAACTCCAAAATTCCTCCTTAATCGGTCTTCTCCCCGGTAGTAATTGGTGCGCCTTCTTCCAGTAGGGGCTGGGTGGAGCGCCGGTGGTCGGCCTCAGCCGTCGCAGCCTTCCTTTGGTGATGCAGTGTCGTCCGTCGTTGCGGGAAGAGAGGAGGGGAGCGACTTGGTGGTCTTGCCGAGGTTCGTTGCATTCTGGTGAGTATTCTTCTTCTTCCTCTATTCATTGTTGGGATGGGTTTAGCTGCGTACCAAGGGGGCGATTGGGTGGTGTTTCGTTGTTTGTTCTTTTCGCCCGTTTTGCCTCTGATGCTGGGGTGATTTGGTCGGCGGCGTCTCCGACCTCGCTAGTGGTGTTGGTCGGGGTTGGGGAGGCGGCTGTTGGTGGGGGGGTTCGAGCGGCGTTCCACCGGCTGCGGGCCGCGGTTGTCCGCTGGGGCTTGGGTGTGCGGTTTGGGGGCGGATCATGTTAGGCGGTTTGGCAGTTTCAGGTTCGTCTTCCTGAAGCGCGATCTGGTCCTGTTAGTGGTCGGTTGTGGGGTTGTCGGCGTTCTCTCATTTGCTGGAGGAAGGGTTTGTACAGTTCTTGTTTGTTTTGTTTTGTTTCTTATGGTTGCTTGAGTCTGTTTTAGCTAAGTGTTTTTGGTCTGGGCTCTTTTGCCCGTGTGTTTTATGTCCTGTTTTTTTGGTCTGGGCTGTTGGCCCCTGTGCTGATTACCCCGTGGGGGCCGATCCTATTCTCTTGTGGGGAGTGTTTCTAGTTGTTAGTAGTGTGTTGTGTCTGTTTTTTATTCTAGCGGGGCTAGCATTATCTGTACTGTGTGTTGTGTTTTTTGTGTGTGCCGTTGGGATTCTAGCTTGGCTAGCGTCGGTATCTAGGCGATCTCCGAATCTGTCCTCCCAGTTTTTTCAGCTGTTTGCTGCGTTGTTCAGCTAGGGGTTGTAACTTTGCACATTTGTGCATTTTATTTATAGATATCTCTATCGTTCCGAACAAAAAAAAAAAAGAATATTAGGCTCTTTTCTCTATTAACTGATATCAGTTTTGCTATGAAGCCAACAGTTGGCTCCATAGTGGAGTCAACCTTCTATATACAACAAGTAAATCTACCATATTAATAAAATTATATTAATATTATTAAAGTAATTAGAGAATATGATAGGTTTACTTGTTGTTTATAGAATGTTGGTTCCACTATGGAGCCAATTATTGCCTTCATAGCAAAAACCGGAACTGATATATTGAACTTCGTATTTAATTTCTTACGTACATATATTGTTTATTAATTATACCAATTATTGGATATTGTTCATCGTCTTCACCCCATTTGATCCATTCCCTTAGCATCTGTTATCCCTAATTCCTTTCAATAGTTCTTTTTACATCCTCCTCCATGTCTTTTATTTCTTAATCTTATCCTCTAGTATTCGTATCCTAGGGCTTTCTCCCTCAATCCCTCATCCGAAGCTAACCCTAATTGCTTTTAGACTTTCTTTTCTTTATGGATAACGATATTACAGAAAAGTTCCAAAAATTCGCCCTCTCCTCGAAAGAGGAAGGAGGCATTGAAATCTCGGAAGAAGAGGTGGAACCAGGCATTCAAGAGTACAGTCTCAGCCTTATTGGCAAACTCTATGGTGTAAAAAAAGCCAACTTTAATGGGCTTAGAACTACTTTAAGTAGCATATGGTCTACTCAAATGCCCTTCAGTATTCGAAACCTAGGGTCGAACTCATTTCATTTCCTCTTTGAATGTTCGGAAGACTGACAAGATTCTCAATGGCAAAACATGGAACTTCGACGGCCAATATCTGCTTCTTAAAAAATGGGAGCCAGGCCATCTGAGCTTCGCATCAGACGAAGAATTCATCAAGATCTGGATACAAGTGAATAATCTCCCTCTCCATTGGATGTGTGTAGACATAGGGCTAAAGATTGGTCGTCTTGTTGGCAAGCCTCTGAATGTGACACTCCCAGGACCTGGCAATTCCCAAGGCCCCATCATGAGAATTCATGTTGAGCTAAAGTTGGCAGACCCAATTTTGAGAGGCCTTAAGATTAAGCTCGGAGCAAAAAGCAAATGGGTCAACCTGCGGTATGAAAACCTCCAAAACTTCTGTTTCTACTGTGGCAGAATCGGACATGGGTACAGAAATTTCCAGTCCAAACAAGAAGATGTTGGTAGAAGTGTCGTCAACCTCGGCCAATTTGGGGAATGGCTGCGAGTTCCTCACAATTACAACTTTGAATCCAGGTAAGCAAGCCCCATATTATCAGGTAGTCACTCTGGAGATAAAGACTTCCAAAATTCAAGCTAATAGCCTTGATCCTGGGAATATTCCCGAGAGATCTAGTGAAACTCAGCCTATCACCAAAGCCGTCAACCTTGAAATCCCACCCCCATCACCTGAACCAAATAATTCTCCCATCCAGATCTTGTCCAACCCTCCCCCTGTCATTCAACAAGCCAATGCCCCTCTCCCCAGTGAAGAAGAGAACAAATCTCCCCCCACCTCATATTTGGTGGATGTTGATATTCAGCCCATGACTTTAGAAGACAAATTCACTCCTAAAAAAAGAAAAACCTTCACTAGAAAAACCAGACCTCCCTCAGACTCTTCTAAATTGGAATCAACCAATGACAATCCTCAGTCAACTACCCAAACTCAAAAACTTAATTCAGGTAACCTCAAAAGACCTTCTCTAGCTCTTAATCCAGAAATGGGAGAAAGCTCCAATATTACCAAAAAAACAAAAATTCTCTGTTTTGACAAACTCTTCTGTGGTGGAGGAAACCAGCCCTAACTGGTCCCACAGTTCCCAATGAAAGTTTCGGTGTGGAATTGTAGAGGTTTGGGAGGACCCTCTACAATTTCCCAAATCAAAGATGTTCTCTGAACTCACCTCCCAGATTTTCTCTTTCTTTCAGAGGTTAAAAAAAAATGTAGAGTCAGTCTGTAAAAAGCTTAAGGTTGATGATAGATGGTCTTTTGTTGGCCCTTCTGGTTCTAAGGGTGGTCTTTTTTTAACATGGTCTCCTTCTGTGAAGATCTTGGATCTTTTCTGTCATGATTTTTGTATAGAAGTCCATTTCATATTTGGTGGTGATGAGTTCTCTCAATGGGTTGTCTTCCTATATGCCAGTAATGATCCTGTAGAAAGGAATTCTCAATGGGGTTTTCTTTTAAGACATAGTTTATCCTGGGGTAAACTTTAGTTTTTAGGAGGGGACTTCAATGACATCCTTGACAATAGTGAGAAGAATGGGGGTAGATTGAGAGATGTTAACAGCTTCAACCAGTTTAGACACTTTATTAGTGGGCTTGGTGGGGTTGAAACCAGAACCATAGGACATCATTTTACTTGGGCAAACAACAGGGTGGGTTCTGATTTTATTGAAGTCAAGCTAGATAGATTCTTTCTCTCCCTTGGCTCCTTCTCTACCCTTTGGCTCTGGTTAATAATATTCCTCTCTCTGCCTCCGATCACAAAATGATTATCTTGGAGACAGACTCCTCAAAAAAGGCTTTCAAGAAAAAGTTCTGTTTTGATTCAAGATGGATGCAGCTAAAAGGGTATGGTGAAATAGTGGACAGCTCCTGGAACCTTAATGTTGAGGGTCCTGAACTTTATGGCATCATGGGCAGAATTAAGAATGTCAAGAAAGCTTTGATTGGGTGGAAAAGCAAGGAGCAAACCAACTCAGCCTTGATGATAAAGCTTTGTACTGACAAATTAAAGCAGCTAGATTCTCAGGGTGGATTCAGGGACTGGGAAGCATGGCATATGAACAAGAATAAGCTTCATCAAGCTTACAAAGAGGAAGAGGTGTACTGGAGGCAAAAAGCCAGGGTTCACTGGCTTAAGTCTGGAGATAAAAACACCAGATTTTTCCAGGCTAGTGTGAAGCAAAGAAGGCAATCCAATAATCTCAATCATCTTCTTAATGCTCAAAGAAAAGCCTGCACAACTGACTCTGAAATCCTTTTGGAGGTCAAGAACTACTTTGGTAATCTTTACAAAACCTCTGACCCGTTGCTTGAACATTGTGATTTAGAAGGTATTCCAGAGTCCATCACTGCTGCTATGAACTCCAAGCTTACCAGAGATGTTGAGGAGTTAGAGATTAAAGAGGCTGTTATGAATATGGATCAGAACAAGGCCCCCGATATTGATGGGATGACACCAACTTTTTTCCAGAAATCCTGGCCAACTATCAAAAAACTCACCTTTGTTCAGCTGTCCATTTTTTTTTTTCAAATCTGAAAAAATCCCCAAGAATGTTAATCACACTGTCCTCACCCTTATCTCCAAAATCAAAAATCCCCAAACATTGTCTGATCACAGACCAATCAGCTTGTGCACTGTCCTGTACAAAATCATTTCTAAAATTTTGGCAAACAGACTAAAGCAAGTTCTACAACATTGCATTTCTCCTGCCCAATCAGCCTTTGTCCCAGGCAGGCAAATCCTTGACAATGTTATCCTTGCAAATGAGTGCATCCACCATTTGAACAGCAAAAGAAAGGGCAAAGATAGCTTAATGGCGGTGAAGCTAGATATGGCAAAGGCCTTTGATAAAGTGGAGTGGGGATTTATTGCAAAAATCTGTAAAAAAAAATGGGGTTCTCTGACTTGTTCATATCTTGGGTGCTCTCTTGTGTTTGTTCTTCCACCTTCTCCTTCAATATAAATGGGCAGACCCTTGGTTATCTCCATCCCACGAGAGATCTGAGGCAAGGGGACCCCCTGTCACCTTACCTTTTTATTCTCATATCTGAAACCTTTTCTAACCTCTTATCTCAAGCCTGCAAGTCCAACACTTTTAAGGGATTCAAATTATCTAAGCATTCCCCTGTGATCTCCCATTTGTTCTTAGCTGACGACACCATTCTCTTTTGCAAAGCTGACCTTCATCATGCTAGGTCCATTATGAATATTCTTAAATTTTATGGTCTTTCCTCTGGTCAGTCAGTTAACCTCAACAAGTCGTCCATCTTCTTTTCCAAAAACACATCTGGGGAATCTATGAATGCTATCTGCAACACAATGAATGGGATTACTAGAGTGAATAATGCAAAATATCTTGGCCTCCCTCTGGGGCTAGGTAGATCGAAAAAGGACACATTTAAATTTGTGTCTGATTTTGTGCTTCAGAAGATGACAAACTGGAAAAATGTTTTCCTCAGCGAGGCTGGAAGGGAAGTTTTAATTAAATCTGTTCTGGAATCCCTTCCTACTTATGTCATGTCATGCTCTAGGATTCCTTCTTCTGTGTGTGCTGATATCTGTAAAGCTGTTGCTAGCTTTTGGTGGGGAAAGGGAGCTGCAGGTAAGGATAAACTTCACTGGTGTAGTTGGAACCTCCTCTCCAAACCGAAAACTAAGGGTGGCTTGTGGTTCAAAAACTTCAGAGCTTTCAACAAGGCTTTAATTGTGAAGCAACTCTGGCGGCTTATTTCTAAGCCTAATCTGCTAATTAGCAAGGTTCTGAAGGGGAAATACTTTTGGCACCAACAGCTCTTGGAGGTCAAAGCCAGAAACAGAGACTCTTGGCTCTGGAAGAGCTGGCTAACAGCTAGAGATTCGTTGAAGTTGGGGCTTTGTTATCATGTGGGAGACGGGAAGTCTATTAAAATCTGGGAATCTCCTTGGGTGCCCGGAATCCCTAATTTTCAGCCACAATAAAGGTTCACTGGGGATGCAGACAGATTGATTTGGGTAATTGAATTGATCAGTACTACTGACCAGGATTGGGATATTGATTTGACAAACTTTTGATCCTTTTGTAGCTGAGAAAATTCTTGAAATACCTATTAGCTTGGCAGGGCTGAAAGACAGTTTTGTTTGGCACAATCATCCCAAAGGCCTTCTAACTGTCAAAAGTGTGTACCAGACCATCCTCCATAATCAATTCTTCTCCACTGACTCTACTGCCCCAAGCTCTGGACTAACCAAAGAGGAAACCATGTGGGCTGCTACATGGAAATTACCAGTCATGGGGAAGCTGAAAACATTCCTCTGGAAATGCTGGCATGGCTTTATAAGTACCACCATGAAGCTTTCAGAAAAAAAGAATTAATGTCCAGAAAATGTGCAGCTCTTGTGGAGAACATCTTGAGGATCTAGAGCATATATTTGTTAAGTGCTCAAGGGCAGCCCTCTCCTGGAAACTTTTGGGAGTGAGCTGGGATCATTTTCTTCTCCCCAAATTCAAGTTTACTGATTGGTGGCTATCCATATGTCAACCTGATGCTGATAGTGGCTTAGTGTATAAAATCAGTCTTTCCACATACCTCTTATGGTGGTTGTGGAAGACTAGGAATTCCTGGATCTTCGACAAATCATGGACACCTGAAAAGCATGTGGTTGATTTGGCTAAAAAAGACTGGGCTGAGTATAATGCTTCTATTGCTAATGATGACAACTCCCCTTTGCCTTTGCCAATTATTGGGAAACCATCTGCAGCTTTTGATTTGGAAAGGGTAGGACTCTTGCAATTCAGTCAGTGCCTCAATTTCCAAAGATGGCCATGGGGTGGTGCTGTGTACTGGACGTAAGGAAGAAATTCAGACTCTACAATGGCAGAAAACTTTTAGCAAAGTGGCTAATAAAAAAACTGCAATCCTCCTTGCAATAAGATGGAGCTTCTTGAAGCTAAAGGATACTGAGGACACAAGCTTATGCTGCTGTTTGGACTCCATGGATCTAGTCCACATGCTCAACTCAAGAGGCTCCCCCCAATGGCTATAGCTACATTGGTTCTGGACATTTATGCTTTGTTGGATTCCTCCATCAGTTGTAGATTTTTTGTTTTTGATTCCTCTTAGTTTTTCTGTTAGCTTTATGGCTTGTAGGGGATAGTTGTTCTTTCCCCGTTTGAGTTCCTCTGGATCTGTAATCAGTTGGTTGCACGTTGTATGGACTTGTTGCTTTGAGTTTTTATAAATTGTTTGTTTGATGTTTGA